GCTTCAGGGCCTGTTAATGGCACAGCAGATTTCTTTAGAGCTGATGGGCACAAATTACATATACTTCTAGCAAGCCATATGAAATCTTGGAAAAGGGAAAATCGTAGAGCATTGGAGGATCTCGGAAACGGTCACCCTATCCGGGAAGGGTGATCAAAAGGATCTTCGTAGCTACCATCCCATATGCTTGTTGAGCGTATTCTAGAAGTTGTTTACGACAATTACCCCTTTGCAAACATCGAGAACCTCGGATGAAGCACAACCATTTGACCAAGCAGTATTCCGACAAAGATTTTGCCGGATGGACTAGATCTGGTCCGCATCATAGGTTACAGAAATCTGTTGGGAGTACTTTATGCCCTATGTCCGGCGCTTCCGGCAATATAACTGGCACTTATAATGCCTAGCCGGAATGCGCAGTCAGGTCATGGAAACCTAACCCATATTCAGGATTACAGGAAAATGTACATTAACAGCGAAACACAGAGAGACCGGTCACGGAATGAGAAGGTGACGGATGGACGAAAGGAACAGCGGAGTGGACTCGAGGAGAAGGCAGGCGTTGTCTTTGAAGACCATATAAACGATTGACGAACGTGTTCCTGGCTAACGTCAACCATCTACACTCGCAGATGACAACGACTTCAGGTGCGGAGTAAGGCTCGCGGACGTCACCATGTTCGAAGCACATAAGTTCCACGGACAACGATCAAGCGAGAAAGTGAAGAACTGCGATTATGCTGCGGCCCACACGACCAGCGAAGAAAGGCCATTCAAGTATCTACGTATGTATGTAAAATAATGTATATGAAGTCGTGTTTGGCATGTGATATCTAGTTTCAACTTATTTCGAACCACTACGTGGTCTCTACTTTCCGTTGAATATCTTTTATCGATTTTTAAATTTTTGAAAACTATAGTGTTTCGTTAGAGGTGCGACGTTTCTGGGCGATTAAATTTGGGACAGTTGTATTCAACGTTTTCGTTTAAAGGATTTTTTCCACAATTTGACTACATACGTGGTGATGAGTCTTCTGAAAATACCTGAGTGAGTAGATTGCATGCAAAATGGAAATTTCCAGGTTCTTAAGAGGGCGAAGACACCGAAATTGTAGCCAATTTGGAAAAATCATGAGTTAACGACATGAACAATATTCTATTAAAATTTGACATGGAAATGACCACTTTCATTGCTTATTCCACAAAAATTTAACTAGAACGTGCTCTGCAACATATGTTGTTGAAAATTCTGATCTTTTCTAATATTTCGACATTTTATGCCAGCTAATATAATGCTGACCGTTACAGCGAGAGTGATAGGGAGAGGGGGAAGGAGGTGTCTGGAGAGAAAAGATTATTATCTACCGATAATCGGTCCGCTCTGTATAAAAGGATACTGCCAAGTGTGGTTACTTCGCTCGAGCGGGGCTCCAATCCAGAAAATTCGACTCGATGCGACTACGGAGCTCCATATCACAAGGGCGCCGTGGACAATCGACTCGAATCGTCGCTTTCGAAGATACGACACATTTTCACTCTTTGTAAAGCCTCTGTAAAGCAATTCTTTGGATCATTACTTTACAAGAAAATGTGTTGGGACAATGCCTGAACAACTGTGCCAATATCATGAACAATGGCAAGTGAATATACCAAGGATCTAACTGTGCCAAGAGCAAAACGAAAGTGTCGCGTAAGAGTGAATCCAAAAAATTATTGAAGAAAAGAACGAGTCGAAATACACTAAGCGATCTAATGGCAACAATACCTTGTGCTACGACGGAGTAACTCTGTATAGAGAAGCATCGGATCTAAGACAGGTTTTTGACACGTCAACACTTCTAACGAGTTGACATTCGTCGCACAACAATACTAATTGTGAACCAGTCTCGATTATAACTCGAACATGCAACATCCCAAAGCTTCCACTTGACTCAATTCTCGGGCTCGTTGTTGAAGAGACGCCAAGCCTCCGAACCTCACAAGGACAGATAACGTCGTGCAAGGTATCCCAGCTCGTTGAGATCAAGGAGTTGCTCATTCTGCGCTGCTAACTCAATGGAGGTGAAGAGTATGAAAACTGGTCTCTGTTCCATATCAAGCAGAAGGAAGACGTCTAATCGCAATGGCGATGGTGATTATAGAGACCCTTTTCCACCTCACAGAGAATGCTCTCTGCTTTGACATGTCATTACACTCTTCTTGTCGTTGTTTACTTCATGAACACTATTTAAGGACGTTCACTTTCGCCCTATTACATTCTACCGGTAAGGCTTAAACAAGGAATTCCCATGCCATAAATAAGAAAAAGAAGAAAACATACTAAATAAATATGATAATATTTAACCGGTCATCACATTATTTTTTTATATGTTCGTTTTTGTTCGCAAATGTTTTATTCTACAAAAAACAATGGCACAGAAAATAAACGTAGATATTCTGCTTTCTATAGTGGTGGTGATATTGACAGTACTATCCGCTGTCACCTATGCATAATTGCATTCCGTAACAAATTTGCTCATCTGGAATGCAAACAACGGCTTGGTGACATGGGTTTCCTTCCTCTGCTGAGTGGGTTTGTGTTCGTTGACGATGCGATGAAGCACTTCAGTGTTTTTGTAAAAAAAACCGGCAAGGCGACGTGCTTTGGTGCAGGCGACGTCGAACATAGAGAAGCTCAGCGAACATTGTTCAACATACTGCATTTCAATAAGTGACACCAATTGCTTCTCATACCAGTAAAATTCGCCGTATTTTCTTCTTACAGTATCTTATAAATATTAGAAGACAATTAGAAGATATTAGAGAAGTAGGCAATAGATGAGTTTTCAAGGTTGCTATTAAACAACTGCATATTTTATGCCAAGGATAAGAGCTCTCGGCGTTGATCAATCTCTGGTGCATGAGCCATGAATTCGACTTCATTAAGCATCGTTCGAGGTGATTGAATGCATACCTGGCCTTTATAATGAATGACTCGTGGTGGCCTACCAATCTATCAAGCCAGTGGTGCTATCCTCCCAGACAAGTTTAGTAACAATTTGCCGACCCCAAAGGGATGGAGGGCTTGGTCGACCATGGGCGCCAGGATCGGTTTCACGTGTGTGTTGCAGTGGCGCCTCCAACCATTGCGCCACACGCGCCCTTTTTATGTCATATCAAACCCATCTATATCTTACATTTATTTCGCCGAGAAAAGTCTTTTGTAATTTCTTCACTCAGTTGATAGCTTATATAATGCAAGCAGTTGTGATAGGGTTCAGACCTGAAACGCTACGCTTCGTTCCTAGTGATTTGCAAAAATCTGGTTTTCCGAACACTTCATTTAAGGGGGAGAGACCGTTGAGCGTGAAGACAGCTCCCACTGAAGGTACTGTTACCGTTCGTGTAGGGACGGAGACGTGACTGCCGTACTTGAACACCGAATTTTACCATTTAAGGGCGTGGTTTTGCTACATTGAGATTACAAGACACTTTTGTTGAATTCTCGTATAGCTACACACTCCACGCTACCAGAATGCGGGCTTGCAAGAAGGTGAGGCGTTCATCACTGTCTTTCCAAAGTGCGTCCCGTTTCCAACTCTTCTTGCCATAACATCCTATTGTTTCAAAGTCATTGTGAGGCATTCATTTGCCAAAGTTCTCATATTTCGCACTTCCTACATCCAGTTAAGTACCTTTGCAACCCAAACCTTATATAACTAGCCTTTTCAAATGTAATCCCCATTCACCCATTCAACATACCTAATTATCCACCATTTAAATATTTCACGTACAATTTACAAGCATTATAATCCACAGTACAAAGAAAATAGGTTGATACCAAATCGTGTCGGCTCAGTTGCCCTCCACGTGTGAGTGCAAACTATTTCGCATAGGTTTTTAGGTGTCAAAGGATAAAAAGGAAACAATGTCCATCAATTTAGTAAATGCACCAACTTGTGGGATCCTTCCGATTGATTGAGTGAGTGCTTTTTTCCTCTCAGACAGTACTGGTACCAATTTGTCGACCCCTCCCGCTTTACAAGGGATGGGAAGTCTTTTTGGCAGGGGCTGAGTTCACATTAGCGACAATTCCTGCACTGTTTCAAGTATCGACTTATGAAAATCTTTCGTTCACTGGAAAAGGCATCTAACCAGCAGGTAATGCATAATGTTCGAAAGCACATCCTTAGAGAAGAGCCGTGACTGAATCGCTTTCGGGCAAATTCCAAAAATGCAAAACGGAACCGCAAGGAGGAGTGTCTTCTGATCACGCATGACCTAACGCCATACCTCAGGTTGATTCTCTGACCTAAGCCAGGCAAGTTCCTCGCCCATGTAGTACTCTATGCGGCTGCTCTGAACCAAATAACTGGAAGACATACCATGTAGCAAACAGTGGTTGTTTAAAAGAAGCTCTTTATTATGCGAATGGAAATTTATGGAATAAGTTTTGTGTATATAATGCTGAGATATTTGCAAAACTCGGGTGACGGGTGATTGCTGATGGCAAAAGATCAATAGAAATAGCGTATAGACAGGCAAAACGAAGGACCCGGATGGTGTGGTGGTGAAGTGCACTACTCCCCGGTAAGGACAATAGCGCGCGTTCGTTCCCCACCACATACACCTGCGGTCCGGAGTTTTGCAAATATCTCAGCATTTCATACGAGTTATAATTCGCAGCATACCCTGCCATGAAGATGAAAAAGGCAGTAAATAAAAGGGTTAAGTTTTGTGCGTTGAAGTTACGAAAGTGTTTGGTTGAGTTGATCGCGTTTCAGTATGACCCCTCCAGGCTCTGCAGAAGACGGAACCGTTGAAACGCCAGCTACTAAGTATTAATAAATGCTGTAATATCAACCACGTGTTATCATTAAGAAAAACAGTGAACCATAACCGATCTGATTCGTTTGATCGTTTGAAGTTATATCCACCGATCTCCAAAGTGTTAATTCACGGCTTTTATGTTTGTCACATTTATCACGGTTAGCATCATTTTCCTACTGAACTGTCTCTGAATGCTGAAAGCGGTTCTAGGTCAGTGCGGTCGTTGTTCTTCATTATATCTTATCCTATAAATCTGAACATTCTGTTCTACAGGACCGGAACAAAGCAAGTTTATAGTGAACGGCCTCCCTCCATTAGAACTTCAAGTAGGGAAAGATGGTTTTTTTGATGGATTCATCACTTTCGCTACAGGTTAGCGGAAATTTTTTGGTCATGACGATGTGATCCCACACTTTCATTCATTGCGGATGAAATATCCATTATGTAACCAAAATTCATAAGCGATTATTCAAAATAGTGCAAACTCATTATCTCCATAGCAACGCTTTAAAATTTACTTCCTTTGAAGTGGCTGAGTCCCTTGTTCAAGGTATGGATAATATGTGGTTGATGCCCACGATGAACAACAAATGGGCTATCGATTCAGCTGCAGTGCTATTTCCTCTTCAACCTCTTAATCTTATACAAAAAGGTTGGTGAAGATTTGTAAATGACTGAAAACAAGTAAATACAAATGTCTGTATACAGATATTGAATATCTATTCTTGAATACAATCTTAACCCTTTTATTTACCGCCTTTTTCCTTTTAATGGCAGGGTATGTTGCGAAACATAACTCGTATATAATGCTGAGATATTTGCAAAAAAGGCTGTAAACAAAAGGGTTAAGATTTTGATTATAACTAAGCCTCAGCTTAACTGGGTTCAATGCTGATTTGGGTTGCCCAGATCAATCCCGTTGACGGGTAATTGCTGATGGCAAAAGATCAATAGAACTAGCTGGGAGACAGGCAAAACGAAAGGATCCGGATGGTGTGGTGGTGAAGTGCGCTACTCCCCGGAAAGGACAATAGCGCGCGTCCGTTCCCCACCGCATACACCTGCGGTCCGGAGTTTTGCAAATATCTCAGCATTATATACGAGTTATTCTTGAATAGTTTTGTAAGTGAAGAAGTTTTGGAGAAGCCGCATGGAAAAGACGAAAGGACTGAGTGGAAAGGCACACTTTTCTACCTTCAGACTGTGGGCGCATGTGGAGCAGTGTTTGGAGGCGCTCGCAACACACGAATCAATCCCTTCGCCTATGGCCCACCAAGCCCTCCTTCTCTCCGGGGTCGGCAAACTGGTAACAAACTCGTCTAGAAGGGTAGCAGCAGTGGCTCGATACCTAGGTAGGCCACAGCGAGCCATGTAAAGGCCAGATGAGCATTCAATCACCTCCAACGATGCTTAATGAAGTCGAATGCATGGCGCATCCCTAAGAGATTGATCAACGCCAAGAGCTTTATTTTCATCTCTTCAGACTGTACGTCTTTACACTGCTTGGTTGGCGAGAACAACTGTCTGCTAACAAAGATACAGCTTTGAGTTATTCACAATGTTTCTATGAAGAAACGACTGCTTAACGACAAAGTTTTGGCATTACATTCTAGTTGATATGTGGCTATCGTTATACTTACTTACTTAGATACCTGGACGGACCGTCTTCACTGGATGTGATCACCAGCATGTTACTGTGGAGTCCCGAGAACAGCCTGGCGAAGGTATACCGCAGGTCATCCAGGAAAAACTTTGTCACCATGCGACTAGTTTGGTACCAGAACGGTGGTGGATCCTGGTATTGGTTTACTCTTAGCTGGGATTCCTGATGGAAATGCCGGACTTCCTCTCAGCTTGGAGACCCTGCTCGTGAGATGAATCCCCGCTGTCCATCGAAGCCCGACACCCAGGAACACCTTCTAGCCAGGATGAGGCGATAAATGGTTGGGAAGGGTTATCGTTACATAAGATTATTAACGGTCTTTTCAATACTTAATTAACTTTTGTCCTGCACAGCTTCATTTACGTCTCGCTTAGAAAGTTCGTATGCCTATTTTTGGATGTAGTAGAATAAGCAGCTACTATTCTATGGATATTAGGTGATGTCTAATCATGGGAGATAGCACGGGATGAAATCCTATAATACAAAAACAATTACAATAATGCAAAACACTTTTCTTTCTTTTAACTATCTTGTAAAATCAATAACGTTGAAAATATGTCGAATCATCTTTATGATTCAGTAGCACTAAAGCCTCTTTTTTCCATTTATATTTACACTAGTTCAAATTCGGCCACAAACCTCTCGCTGATTCGAAAACCCGCTGAATGCCTGCGCTGGAGACTTCGGAACGCCGTGACACAGCTATTTGTGGATTCCAGGAGAATAGCACTCAACAAGAATTCAATTTCAAATAGGAAGGAAAGCAACAGATCCTTAAGGCCCAACCGAATTCATACATGAACCGAACTACCATCAATGGAATTTTGCAAGCCAAGTAGAGAAGAGAAAAGGTGGTGGAGCCGCCACAAAATGTTACGACGCGCTATCTAATTAAGTCGGTTATGATATTCAATAGGACACGGATAATGCAGTGCTTAGATGCGTCCTGAAATACACACGCAGCCATTAGATATCACACCCCACGCTCACCAAGCAATCCATCCCTTCGGGGTCGACAAATTAATACCACACTTGCATGGCAAAATAACAGCACTGAGTTATTACACCGATTAGCGACTGCAAGTCTATATTAGTTTATAAGTTATTATAAAGGCCAGATTACGCACTTATTCACCTCTAACAATGCGCATTGAAGACTAATACGTAGTCCTTCTCCGACGTATTGATCAACTCCAGTAGCTTTATCTCTTATCTTTCCTAATAATTCGAGCAATTCTACCATTTAAATATGTGAAAAAAAGTTAAAAAATAAAGAAAACCAACAGAATGTTTATTGGTTCATATGAAAAGGTAGCTTTTGACCAACATATACCATCTAAGGACCAGCGCTTTCTAGGGTCCTTGGCTGTAGTTCGTCTTCAGTACAACAAGAATGCAATGTCATGGACAAGAGTGCTTGTAGAAAGCAGACCTGATGCCGCCCACGCAAATGTAAGCCAATTTTGTCAACAGTAATCTTGTCGTAAATTACTTAACCTCAGGTGTATCTCGTTGATTCTGGAGCACGGCAAATGGTGAACGTGAGAAGCCTTTATGAAATGCCACTAGAGATGAAAAGATTTCCTCGTTAGTTAAAAACCTTCGTACCAATTTTTCAATATAATGAAAAAAAAGCATTTAGTTGCTAGCTTTTTAAAGCAAAAAAGTAGCGGCCCCAGAGGCCGAGTGATTAGAAATATCGTTCAATAATATCACAGTCCATCCCAACGGTTTACAGCCTCATGGCTAGGAGATGTTCCTGGGTGTCGGGCCACGATGATTCATCGCGCTGGCAGCGCCTCGCAGGCTGAGAAGGAGTCCGGCGCTTCCATCATAAAGCTCAGCTAAGAGTAAACCAATACGGTGATCCACCACCGTTCTGGTATCAAACTAGCCACATAGCGGCAAATCTTCGTCCGATCCACAAGGGTAGCAACTGCTGGTATTGGTGACGACCTGGGGCAGACTTTGGCCAGGCTGAACTCGGGACTCCAGGGAAACAATGGCCTAACCAGCAAAACTCCGAGAAACAGAAATTTTGCTGGAGCTCGCACATCTAGTGAGGTGGGGCCATCCAAATATCCAAGTAAGTAATACAGTAAAGTAATAAAGTAAGTCTATGGCACGAATTCATACCGTGCCAACTAAGCTTGCTATTTTTCCAACGACGTCAAATATCTGCCATACTTCTCTACAAAGAGCTCTTTTCGATTTAGAAAAGCTGGTAATCTTTGTAGCGTAGACCAGGAAACGTGGTGGTACAGCTCAACCAGGTTGTTAGGGTAATCTAGAAGGCCAACGTTGACACATTCGTGAAGGAGGCGAAATCTCCAAAAGACTACCGAGTCCACACGGCAGTTTGAAGGTGATAGATGGGAGAATCGAACAGAATGAATGGAGTGCTGGAATAATTACATGTTTGATTAATATGATTTTGGTTTATACTCTTAAAAAAGCAGCTTCGAATATGTTTAATAAAAGCCACCTCTACGCGTCTTTATGCAAAATTGTAGCATAGTGTCTTACAGTATCCACATATTGGATAGCAGTGGAAAACTACTGAATATATGAGCCATTCATGACGACACATGAATTGATGATAAAGCAGAGATTAAATAGCACCCAATGTGTGGTTGATGACAGTCTAGAGTGCTAGACAGAAACTATCTTTTAGTCTAGACGAAGTGTTTTATATTAACTAGTGAGTTTCAGCTCAGGCTATTCCGGTTCTTCCCAGTATCTCTTCATCACCAGACCTTGCACCAGGAGAATGGGGAAAACTGGCAAATGTTCGGATTACTGTCCGCATGAGTAAGAACGAACACTCCGCCCAATTCTTTTAAATAATCACCTGAAAACAGAGAGCAGCTACTTAAATCTATCATTGCTTAATAGTGTGTTAGCTTTTAATAATTGCAGATGCTGTCAAAGAGAATAGATTTGTCTGCGATCAACTAACTGTCTATGAAGCTTTCACACGCGCCGATCTTGATTTCGGCGCGGCTATTCGTAACGGTATCGAGCTGGAACGGTACGATATCCCTATTTCAGTATAGTAAACATGAATAAATTGGTAACTTCTTACACCTTCTATAAACAGAGCAAAGCGAACGTGGTTGTAAGAGTACAGGTAAATTGATTAGCACATAAGGTGCCCCGACAACTTGATCATCTTTATGGATACTTCGGATAAAAACCGCTTGTTGTAGCATCTAAGCCAATCGGGTGTAAGGTTTTAAATTATTCATAGATTTATTTTCTTCAGTGCAAATTTTTCATTCATGCCAATGGATGATAAGCGTTATAACATTATCGGACCGCCGCAGATCAGACCCAGCAATGATGCCTTTCTTATTGACCAAAGTAGTCAAGGGCGACCAGGTAAGAAATCTCTAAAGCCAAATATTTCAAAATTTGCTTACTTTTGGATTTGTTATATTTGTTTCGGTGATGCATATAATGTAGTGCGATGAATAGTCAGTTAGCTCACGCTAGAAGTAAATTAGTTCAACTCCTGATCCATTCCTTCAAACTACGCTAACAATGCTCTCCACTGATAATGAGGTGCCCGACCACAGTCAAAGGTGTAGCGAATTTATCCGCAAAAGATTAAAAAGGATATGGATTCGATCTGGTCTCGTTTTCAACTAGACAAACCAAATTCGCATTTGAAATGCTGATAACCAAATATTTCAATAAGTCGTTGCAAAATATTAGCACGGAAAGAATTAGCATATGTTTTTCATTCGATCAATTTATCTTTCACTTCGGTCTTTTGAGAAACTTTTGAAGATTTTAAACCAGAAAGATAAGAACTTGAGAATATAGTGTTATTATGTCCCCCAACGGTTTACCACCTCATCGTGGATGGAAGGTGTTCCTTCCTAGGTGTCAGACTGCGATGTACAGTGGGAGATTCGGTCCCACCCCGCAGGATTTCCAAGCTGAGAAGGAGTCCGGCGGTTCCATCAGGAAGCCTAGCTAAGAGTAAGCCAATACCAGATCCACCACGGCCATTGTATCAAACTAGCTGCGTGGTGGAAAATCTCCCTCTGATTCACAAGGGCGGCAACTGCCTGTCGTGGTAAGACCTGCGGTACACTTCGGCCAAGCTGACCTGGGCACTCCAGGGAGCCACAATGACTAAACACCAGAACTCTGACAAATGATGATTATGCTGGGGCCCGCACAGTCAGTGAGAACGGGCCATCCAATACTTAGGTATTTACACTTATTTTCAAGCCAGGCCTGTTTGAACAAAATAAAGCACTTTTTTCCAGATTTTTCAGTGTTTTATGTGTCCATAATTGGTGTACTGATGGCAGTTGCTTCACTTCTGTTGATTATTGGATATGCCTATAGACGAGTGCAGGTCGAACGTGCACATCGGCGAGAGGACGTGCAGGAACCCCCGTGAGTACGAATTCTCTAGGACAACGAACAGCCTAATGATGTTCTAGTGCGAAGAAAACTGTTTTCTGTTAGGAAAAGAACTACGCAGGCGATCATCGGAAATAATTTCTTAACATCTTATTTTAATGACTTTGGTTATGTACTATTTCAGAGGAACTATCTAAAGCAAATCCGTTTGAGCATGAATGATGAAATAAGCGATTCATCTTTTTCTAGACACTCTTGAGAAATACTGCTTTACAATATTCATCGTCATTAATGACATTATCCATTATTTTCCACTTATTTTGCCTAATGGTTGAATCATTGCTACATAGTAAACAGTCACCTTTGTGATTTAGTGCGCCTTTATGGGAAATCGAGAATGTACCGGAGGTAGCTCCCGTATCAACAGTGAGGCTTTTTAGTCTTTACATCTTTTTTAGAAACATTTATAAGTAGTACATTTCTCATCAAAAGCACTTGCCATGGTTCCTTATCTGAACGGAAAACAGGGTAATCACTACTAGTCTCATGAAGACGAAAAAGCTCGTCCCAATGGCGTTCTTCCTGTGAACTTTAATGAGTCGAAATCATACTTCTCTCGGATCACACTCAGTAAACGTTTGTGGTATAAAATCTATCAGTTTAACTCAAAAGGTAATTCGTGAACGTAAATCGTAAAGAAAACGAATTAAAGCTACTGCTTATCTAGTCACTTTTTACATACTGCCTATTGTTTTTTCATGGCAGGGTATAATGTGAGTTATAACCACAATGGTGTTGAGATATTCGCGAAACTCCGGACCGCAGGTGTCTGCGGTGAACTACTCGTTATGTCTCATAAGTCTTACAATGTGTAAGGCATTAAAACTGATGAAATATTAGAAACAAAAGCTTTCTAACATTAGGAAAATGCTGAGAACAATGTTGACAAATCAGTAGATGAGAACCGGAAGGAAGAGTTTCCTACACGGACATTGGCTCCAGCTCATGGCAACGAAATTGCGGTATGTTGCACAATACTCACAGTGGAATTTGCAAATAAATGAATAAGTGCTCGAATTATGATTTACAAGACAACTACTGGGAAAGAAAATTCGACTATCCTAAAATTTTGAACAATCGATTTTATTCCCTTACTTCATTCACAAGACTTCATTGTAATAATCGTTTCACAATGAGACGAACACGATTTCATTTCACATAGTCTGTCGATAAACAGTAAAACACTTAAAAATCTCGTTGTTCAAATATTCTAAACAGTTAGCAGTCCCTATGTATTTAAAGTAACATGAGATTAGAAAGCTTTATGAAAAGTACGGCTGTGCCGAGGCAACGGCTACCGGACGCCGGTAGCCAAGAGAAATATCGTCAGCAACATAATTTCTGCACGGCTTACAATTGGAGAGCTATAATAACAAAAAGTATGAAAGCCCAAGGGTTGCTATTGGTGTCTGAAAAATAATGACGTACTTTTCAAAAAATGAGGCTATGCATTATTAAAGGAACGTTCGATCTTAGCATTGCCTCCAAAAGCTGTCGCAGTGATCGCAGCACTTATGGGAAGTTCTTCGGCGACGATGGACAAACGACACTCCAGGTAACTGTGCACCTTCAGTAGCAACAAATTCAACATCATTGACTGTGTTACTTATGCATATCGATTGACACGTACAACTCTCTTCCAGGCAAACAATACCCTCATTTACCTAACCTTCGTTAACGGGCTCACGCCCAAACCTAAACTATTTATAGTGCATGCGCTCCCATTTTTGTGTTTTATTATATTGAACTTTAGAACAGTCGCAATACAGACACGGAAAGATAGTAGCTCGCAAGACGCATCCTTTGAGTGAGTATTTTTAGATCAAGAAATTTTAGAACTAATGAATGTCTACAATACAAACTTGTAAACAAAAACATCATGCTTTAAAAGCATAAAGCATTCGGCACTGGCCAATCGTTGAGGTAGACGCCATATATTTTGCTTCATCAGGCATCGTAAAGGTCATTGAATGCATGTTGAGACTATACAATCACTAGCGGTGCTCCACCGATGTATAAAGTCAGTGATTTTTATCTCACCAGACGTGTCTGGTCCTAAGTTGCCGGCTCAAGAGTAATGGGAGGATTGATTAAACAGGATCGTAAATTAGAACCAAGGACTAAGTGTGTATTTGAGGATAGCTCTAACCATTGCGCTACCTGCACACACTAAACGTAATTGTAGTGAAGGAAATGCGGTGATGTACCGTTTTTTCGGCTCCAATAAATTAGGCAATGGAAATTGATGAACATAGAGCAAAGGTGATTAAAAATTTATTTATTACGGCCCAATTTAGTTGTTTTGGGTTTCTCTTAACTGAATATTCAACGCCATATTTAGGGACCACCACCGCATTGGAGCAGGTATCAGTGAGATTTCATCGATACGTGGTTCATCATCCGTATTACCACCCGGATTTCTCGTTAATAGTTCTGTTGAGAAATCCAGTCAATCGTCGTCCTATCGGGGGCCTAATAAGCAACCACATAAAAGCTCAGAAGATCAGCCATCTTTCCGTAGACATCAATCCAATGCAGTGCTTCATTCATCTAATACCTCGATAAACAACGACTTCTTTGAATCCCTTACTTCAAATGACATAAAACGGATGCTGAAAGAAAGAGCCATCCTCCGCGGACAGTGAGTTTATGTTCCTTCTCATTTTCAAGCAGTGCAACCACAGAGAAAAATAGAATAATAGAACCTGATCTCCAAGTTTGACTTCAGCTACAAATTTATAAGACTGATTTATTTGATGGATGGAAGAATTGATGAAAACCGACGAAACTGTTTAGGGTATTACCGGCTACAATGGACTCCTCATATTCATTCTACAGTGCTGTCGTTGACCAAGACGACGTTATGTAGTTTTATACAAGAACTAATCTATTGAATGTGCCATTTGATCCTATCCTATACGATTTTTGATTCATTTCTATTGTTCTGTTTTCATTGTTCGCGCCTTTTATAATGAATGAGCCAAATTACCTGTGTCACAGATAATTCGTTACCGCCAAGTGACTTGAGAAGAAATTGCTAAACTTCGTTTCCGCCCTTCGCACACCGAAGCTGCTCAGTGAATTCCACTTGTTCAAGGGACACGAAAGTCATCACACTCTTACTTTTTCATTGTTTTTGGTGAAAAGGCACTAAGTAGCTCGCAGATTTTGCTACGGCAGAGTTTGGCTTCCAGATAGAAGTGTTAAAATCCTTATGAGCTTTGGCAGCTCTGTCAAGGAAGCATACATCGCACTTTGACACTGAGGAAAACCACAAAGCTGTAATGAGGCAGAAAATTACTGAAAGAATTTGAATGGATAATTCTTGCACCTTCTTTTACTTTCCACAAAGGCAAACGTACCGAAAATAAAATGGAAGATGTAACACAATTACCCTGCAGGATTAGAGATAACGCATGTCACGGGAAACTACACAAACATGATTTTAAAGCATGACACGAACATGTTGTAACAAGCCTCATCACCAAGGAACATAAAGGAGAGAATAAAGAACTTAAATTTCAAATCCTTCCCTTGGCTATATGCAAACTTACACATTCATTACTCACCAACGAACGGCTACTACACAAGATTTTTCACTGATTTCCCTAAAAAGATATCGAGAGGATTTCTTTGAGTAGGCTGTTTCTCACTCCGTTAATCATAAGGATGAATCTTGACAACCTTGCAGAGAATCAATCTTAGATTATCTCTTATTGCCACTCAGTGAATGGCATTTCAGTTCCTATTTAGAACTCTACCCAACTTTCAAACAAACGCCTTGTAGCTGCAAGTATAGCGTTTCCCGACGGTTACTGCTGGATAAGCAGTGGCGACCTTGCAAAGGTCGAGGTTTTCTCGACGACCTACTAACAGTTGGTTTGTTCATAGATTTGAGCGAAGAATCTCATAACACTGAATCATTACGGTCATAGCATATGAGAATCTATAGCAGTTGCAATGTGCTAAATCCTAGCATTTGAAAAGGCGTAATGAAAGCATTTTAACTCATCGGATCAGTTAATTTGACTATTTCCAACACCTTTGTTTCGAAACCTATGAGTCAAATTTGGCTCATATGTTGAAATTTTCGGTTATAGGACATCGAATCCTTTTATAAACCAAAGTACAAAACTGTAAAAGTTGCAAAGGTAGAGACAAAAAAACCCAATAGATCGAAAGTATCGTTATGTGTTAAAGCGTTCGCAATATCTATGGCACACGTGTCGGACAGTGTCTAAATTCGCCGCACACAGTACATCGCACCTTCAATGCGGCCGAAGTGCCCGAACAAACACGGACCCTACATTTCTTGTCGCACTTTTGTCCTATAATTCAATCTTTGTATACGTACGCCCTGCAGCACACACATGGGATCGATCCACGCACCCGTGGCTCACCAAGGCTTCTATCCCGCCGGGGATCGACAAATTGGTACCAGACTTGTCTGGGAGGATAGCAGCGCTGGCTCGATATATCAGTAGGCTACCGCGAGTAATTGTAAAAGCCAGATATGCATCCAATCACCTCCAACGATGCTTAAAGAAGTCGAATGCATGGCGGATCCCTCTGGAAATGATCAACGCCGAGATCTTTACCCTTTATTTACATAAGTACGTTGCTCATGCATTTTTTGTGCATTTCTTACACATACTCTATGTTCCTGCATGTATATTTCCACGTTTCTGGAACATTTCTAGCACATCTAGTGTCCAATGGTAAAAAAATGCTGACAATCCAACCACGATGCTGCCAGCCTTTTGGCAATGAGTTTAGCGACATAAGAAGCGGAGAGTATAGAGCTCTCGGCGTTGATGAATCCCTGAAGGATGCGCCATGCATTCGAATTCACTAGGCATCGTTGGAGCTGATAGTATGCATACATGGCCTTTACAATGACTCGCGGTGGCCAACTGATGTATCGAACCAGTGCTGCAATCCTCCCAGACAAGTCTGGTACCAATTTACCGACCCCAG